ATATTTTCTATTAAGATTAGAGAGATTAAGATTTTTATTCTAACGCCATGAGTACATAGCAAAAGTTTGAAAACTAACTTAGTTTGAAACTACTTAATAAAAAACTTAGTTTTCTCTTCACCACACTCATGTATACATGTGATAGTTTTTGTCCAGAGAAAGCACCTCTCCCCTCCCCCCGGCCTCCCAACAAAGGGCTGACTTACTGAAAATCAGGCAGGAGGCAAAGAACTCGCTGTCACCCCAAGACTCTGCGGCTGCTCTCCTGCCTTGACTGTCCGTAACTGGTCACTGCCAGTGACTGAGCCATAGGGCCAGACTTCCAGCACTCCCTGGGGAGGGGAATGCGCTGACTGACCCACCCCACCTCTGACTTACAAGGTCTGAGGCTACCTAGAGGAAGCTCCAAAATTTCCATAAGAGTCTGAGCTTTGGAGTGCTGGGCTTAAGGGGGAAACCAAGAGCTTGCCTCATATTCAGTCTTCGGAAAGGGCATGACGTGTTTTTCTATGCAAAAGTGCTTCATGACTTCTCCAACGACCCCATAATTTCATTAACAAAGCAAGTACACTGCTTTAATTTAGGCTGCATGTCTGTCTGGAAGGCCTACGGGCAAACTGGTGCCTTAGGGAGGGGCCCTCCAATCTGTCCCTGCCACCTATCAAGCCATCCCTGGATGACAGCACTGAATCTGCACATGGCTGATCAAAACTGGGGCCAGGAGAACCTCCAGCCCAAATCCCAGGGAACGGTGAAGACAGGCCCAACTGATGAGTAATAGTATGGGGAGGTGCTGATTAACACACCGGAAAGGGTGTGGCAGGCTACTAGGTGTGTCACCTTGCAGAGTGACACACAGTCTGGCCCAGCCTGACGTGTATGAATGATTCACACGTGAGGAGAGGAGACAGGGACTGTGGGAGTGTGCAGTGTCTGGAGTTACGAGCAAAGGTGTTCAAGGCTGAAGGCAGGCAGGACAGGAGGCTGGGGGTCAGGTGCTGCCGAGGCCAGGCTGGGAGGGCACAAAAGCCACAGAAAAAAGAGGGGGCCACAGGCTGGAGGGCTGGTGGAAAGGGGGTTTGCTACAGGCCAAGATGTTAGACCCTCCCTCTCGGAGGGCACCACCCTTCACACTCAGGTCAGGCATATCTTTCAGCCTGAATTAAATAATTAGCTTAACTGTTTGAGGGGTGACGGTGCATCTCAGAGGCCCCAGTCAGCAAGGAGGCACAGGGATGAGGACGGCGTCTCAGCGACCCAGCTTGATGGTCACCGATCGCCGTTACCACGCTCCTCCCAGTCTGCTGGGTGCGGCTGGCCCTTGGCTTTGTCACTAAGAACTGAGAGGACCGGGCAGTGCAGGCACTCTGAGTGGGAATCTGAGCTTTGGAACATGCCCTTCGCTGTCCACCACAGAGTCAGGTGATCTCAGCTCTGGAGTGGGCCTGCCTTTCTTATTCCCCCGAGGGCAGTTTCCCAGCCTTGGTAGGCCCTCCGGTGTGACATCAGAGGACAGGACAGGGACACAGAGACTGCAGCAATGCCCACCTGGCAAGCGCGACACCCACATGGTGACCCTACCGCCCACAGAGCAGGGGTGACGGAGCCTCCCCGATGTCCTGCATCAGACACCTTGGCTCTTTCATTCCAGCATGTACCCGGCCCGCACAGGTGCCAAGTCCTGGCATATACATCGTGTAATGGGCCCAACAACAGCCCGTGCACACAGGTGAAAAAGGAATTGTTATCCCCATTGCGTAAATGAGAAAACTCATTCAGGATGACAAGCAACATATATTTTGGGAGACATTGGGGTAGGCCAAGACTTCTTAAATAGGACTTCCAAGACACAGGCAACAATCCCTACAACAGACAAGTGGGACTATATCAGACTAAGAAGTTTCGGCACAACAAAGGACACAGTAATTAGTGTGAATAGACAACCCTCAGAATGGGAGAACATTTTTGTAAAATAAGCCTCAGACAATGCTTTCACATATCTTTGACATATTCTTGTTACAGATCATTTATGTATGGTTTATTTCTGGGCTCTGTATCCCGCCATTAGTCACATGTCTATCTATCCGTCCACCCTTCCTTTCTTCCTTCCCTCACTTTTCCCTTCTTTCCTCCTTCCCTTCCTTCCCAATGGGGCATAGTCATGTTGCAATCCTTTTTCTTCCATTCCCTACCCAGGCTCACAAGAGTGGGGCTGGGATTAGAACAACATCCCCTGTACTTCAAGTGTCTTTAGCCCATAATTTGTTTGATTTTGTTTTTATTTTTGTTTTTGTTTTAGAGGCTATTGCCTGGGCGCACATGTACTCGCTGGAGAGAGACAGAGACAGAGACAGTGAGAGGGAAACTGAGAAAGCAGGGGGGATGGCCACAGTGCAATCCCTTCTCCTCCATTCTCTTCCCAGGATCTTGGGCACACACGCACACATGCCTGGCATGATTTTCAAGCTACCAGGTCCAGGACTCAAACTGTGGTCTGCCATGTGAGAGTCCAACGATGGTAACCACTACAGCACCTGCTGGCCCTACTGGCCCTTTATTTGTAAAAGCACAAACTCTTAGCACTCATGCAGACAGCTCACACCCTCTCTGCCACCAAAGCAGGGCTGAGTTTTGGGGGGCCTCCTCTGCACACAAGAGAATCCAGGGTGAGAGACGAGGGATCAGCAAACTCAGGAGGAGGCAGCTCAGTGTATGCAGGAAGAGTGATGGAGGGAGCAAAGGCCTACATGTGGGGAAGGGGGCAGTCACCCAAGGCTGGGGAAGCCATCTTTGCACTCTTACCAAATATACATTGGCACCCATGTCTACACAAATCAGCTCCTTACTGTCTGCCTAGGAGGAAGGAGGGCAACTGGCATGTAAGGAGCACTTCGGGTATATCACAGACGCTGCTAAGTGCAGGGTCTTTTCATCTTGGGAGGAGGATAAAAATCTCCATTTTTACAGAAGAGGTCACAGAACCTGGGCTGGAACAAAGGCTGGCCTGACCGCAAAGGCTTGCTCTTTCCTTTCTGTCACGTGACTAATGCCTTGGGCCCTGTCTCCACCATTTAGAAGCTTGCAATCAGACTTAACCACTCTGTCGGGTATAATCACAGGCCGGGAAGCATTTGAACTAATGTGTACTCCAAGGAGAATAGCTAATGGGTAATTTGAGTTATAGTCATTCCCATTCGAGTTATAGCGATGTCCCCTTGCCCCAGCCCACAGAGTAAGTCACTGCTC